TGCATTTTGCGTGTCCTGCATTTACAACCATTTGCAGCATTCCCATAGTCATATAACTGTGATTTATGTTCCTTTTTTCCCCCTGGAAACTGGCATTTACTTCCAATTTCCAGCAAAAAAAAAAGATACCAATTGCTGACAATGAGTTTGCTTGTGTTCACTTAATGACTGCGGTGTTTGCCTTATGGCCATTGCAAAAAAAAAAAGAGGTTGTAAAATGCGGCATGGTCACATAGTGATCCATTTAAAGAGCAGCCCAACTTACAACTGTAATTCTGGGCTCGTACAGTCATAAGTCAAGGACCACCTGTATTTAAAATGTGATTTTTGTGGCTTGCTACAATGTGTGAACACAGCCATTATAGTTTCTAATCACGATGCATGACAGCATTTGATTCTAGGCAACTATTCCTTATTTACGGGGGAAAAAAATGACTTTATATGTAAGCTAAGAATCTGCCTCAAAATATTTGGAAATGGGTTTTCCATAGAATGGTAAGTTGTAATGCAGAACTTTATTTCTAATATGAATTTCTATTTTGCTAAGTTTTAGATCAATGGTTAAAGTAGTATAATTCTTTGAAGAGTTCAAAGAACATTTGATTATCTCCACTATATCTAGTATAGATTAAGAGAAAAAATATGTCCTTTCTGTGCTTATCTGTTTTTATAACTCCCAAATAATTCTGAAACAGACTGAAAGTTTTCTAATTGAATGAGCAGCTGTCTAATCACTGAACTTATTGGGACCATTTGTGATTGTTTTGCTGGCTTCATCATCACTTCGCCATGAGATAAAGATTATTGCAAGAGTTACAAATAAAATGTAACTTGCAATTAGGTTTTTGTTCCTTAATAAATGCCTAGCAATTCGCTCGATCAGCAAGACCGAAGCCAGATGCCAAAGACAAGCGAAAACCTAGAGGGGAAAAAAACCTGAAAGTAAGTTACATTCTCACAACCCATTTTGACTATGAAAACCTTTATATAAAAATTGCTTGGGTTGGCTGAATTTGGAAGGTGGAGCTTCAGTTGACAAATAATAGTTTATAAGTTTAATTGCTGTTCTTTAATTCACAGCTACATTTTAGCTGATTGGACTTTTTCTATTGATAAATTTTAATTTTCTATGTATGAGTAGCTCCCCCCCCCTCCCTCCCTGCAAAGGAACATTATGAATGTTACCTGCTGAGCAATTGTATACAAAACTCCTTGTCCCAGGAACAGAAAGCGAGTTCTCACTGAGAAAATATATGAATGGTGGATTGGTGTACTTTGGAAGATAAGTGTTCTTACGAATATTGGAGCATTTTGTCCTAGGAAATGAGTTTTGCATATACCTGCTGCAGAATTTGAAACAATGGCCCAGATAGAGTTTATCCAAAGTGATACTTAGGCCACAATCTTAAAATTTGTTTAAACAATATTGGTTTCTGGTGAATCAATACATTTTTCTGTTTGTTGGGTGTTTGCAAACTTTTACAGTGTTGTTTTTTTTTTAAAAGTGACATTTCACTAACGAACATCAGCCTGGAATGAATCCATTTGTGATTTTGACTAGTCTTCCTGAACTGTGAAATATCTAGCTCTGTTCTCAATTAAATGGTAGAGGAACTCCTTTAGAATTTTGTCACAAAAAGGTTAATCTATTTTTTTCATTACTAGGCAAAATCCTTTAATACCTTTGTATTTGTTTAAAAACTTAAATGGTTGGTGTTTCATTTATATTGTTTATATTTGCAACAATCCTGAGATCCTGGCTACTGAATCTGTAGGCATCCAATCACATCAAATGGCACATCCAGCATAGCTGGATGTGCATTTATTTATCAGATTTTTTTTAAATCCCACCTTTATTACTTTGTAAATAATTCAAGGCAGCAAATATACACAATACTCCTTCCTCCCTATTTTTCCCATAGCCACCCTTTTAGGGGCTGGGGGCTAAGACAGTGACTCACCCAAATGCACCAGATGATCTAGACACATATCAGCAAGGAAGGGACTGTCTTATTAGTTTATTAATTCTCTTGGATTAGAATACCAGTCAGTCTTGATCGTTTAATTTAAGAATTATTGAACCTTGGGAATAGCAAATTCAGCATCAGATACCATCACATGATATTGTACTACAGGATTGTCAAACTGGCGGCCCATCACATGCAGGCCACACCCACCC